CCCCAATTGCACCCCATCAGACGGCTCGACAAACTCCAGCATGGTATCAGGGATGAAGAAAAGAGTAAACTACATAACATATCGCAAGCAGAAATGTGTACAAAGCTATTTGTGGCTTCTGTGATTTTTTTAATTTCATCCCCAATTGCACCCCCTCAGACGGCTCGACAAACTCCAGCATGCTATCAGGGATGAAGAAAAGAGCAAACTATATAACATATCCCAAGCAGAAAGGTGTACAAAGCCATTTGTGGCTTCTATGATTTTTTGTTTAATTTCTCCCCCAATTGCACCTCCTCAGACGGCCCGACAAACTCCAGCATGGTATCAGGCATAAAGAAAATAGCTATCTTCATAACATATCTCAAGTAAAAAGGTGTACAAAGCCATTTGTGGCTTCTGTGATTTTTTTTTAAATTTCATCCCCAATTGCACCCCCTCAGACGGCTCGACAAACTCCACCATGCTATCAGGGATGAAGAAAAGAGCAAACTACATAACATATCCCAAGCAGAAAGGTGTACAAAGCCAGTTGTGGCTTCTATGATTTTTTGTTTAATTTCTCCCCCAATTGCACCCCCTCAGACGGCCCGACAAACTCCAGCATGGTATCAGGGATGAAGAAAAGAGTAAACTACATAACATATCGCAAGCAGAAATGTGTACAAAGCTATTTGTGGCTTCTGTGATTTTTTTTAATTTCATCCCCAATTGCACCCCCTCAGACGGCTCGACAAACTCCAGCATGCTATCAGGGATGAAGAAAAGAGCAAACTATATAACATATCCCAAGCAGAAAGGTGTACAAAGCCATTTGTGGCTTCTATGATTTTTTGTTTAATTTCTCCCCCAATTGCACCTCCTCAGACGGCCCGACAAACTCCAGCATGGTATCAGGCATAAAGAAAATAGCTATCTTCATAACATATCTCAAGTAAAAAGGTTTACAAAGCCATTTGTGGCTTCTGTGATTTTTTTTAAATTTCATCCCCAATTGCACCCCCTCAGACGGCTCGACAAACTCCACCATGCTATCAGGGATGAAGAAAAGAGCAAACTACATAACATATCCCAAGCAGAAAGGTGTACAAAGCCATTTGTGGCTTCTATGATTTTTGGTTTAATTTCTCCCCCAATTGCACCTCCTCAGACGGCCCGACAAACTCCAGCATGGTATCAGGCATAAAGAAAATAGCTATCTTCATAACATATCTCAAGTAAAAAGGTGTACAAAGCCATTTGTGGCTTCTGTGATTTTTTTTTTAAATTTCATCCCCAATTGCACCCCCTCAGACGGCTCGACAAACTCCACCATGCTATCAGGGATGAAGAAAAGAGCAAACTACATAACATATCCCAAGCAGAAAGGCGTACAAAGCCAGTTGTGGCTTCTATGATTTTTTGTTTAATTTCTCCCCCAATTGCACCCCCTCAGACGGCCCGACAAACTCCAGCATGGTATCAGGGATGAAGAAAAGAGTAAACTACATAACATATCGCAAGCAGAAATGTGTACAAAGCTATTTGTGGCTTCTGTGATTTTTTTTAATTTCATCCCCAATTGCATCCCCTCAGAAGGCTCGACAAATTCCAGCATGCTATCAGGGATGAAGAAAAGAGCAAACTACATAACATATCCCAAGCAGAAAGGTGTACAAAGCCATTTGTGGCTTCTATGATTTTTTTTAAATTTCACCCCCAATTGCACCCCCTGAGACAAAGCAAAAGTTAATTGCGGGTATGGTTGCTGTGTATTGAAACCTCCCCAATTGAAATCTACAAATGAAAAGCCTCTACAGGTAATTTGAACCAAGTTATATGACTATTACGATAGAGTTATATTTTTCTCAGTGTACATTTGTGGATGTGGATAACTTCACACCCGTCTGTAGTATTATTTGTATTTTATCTATTTTAACTATTGTTTGTATTATTTAATTTGTAACTTTATTTTATTAATCAAAATTATACTGTGTAATGCTATACATAACATTGTATTTAACTAAAAGGGGAATGTCCAGTTAATATATATATAAAAATAAATAAATACCCAAATCCATTTAAACTAAACGTAATTGAACAACATTCAAAATTTAACTCTTCACTTTTGTCACTAATAAATCACGGTATATCATACAACAAAGATTTTTTACAAGTATCAAGACATCACCATGATCCTTATCAGTCCTATTAAAGAATGCGGCCTGATGGTATCAATCAAAACAAAATATATTGATATTATCATCATGACACCAGGTCTCTGAAAGGCATAAGATATCTGGTGATTTTTGATTTATAATTAATTCAATCTGGTTAGTTTTATTTGTTAATGACTGTACATTTACATTTATTATCCTAAACTTAACATCCACATCATGGTTGTTCACAATTTTACCATTTATGTTTTTAGTTGGAGATCTGTGCTGAGAGAAAAATCCTCAATACTATCATTATCAACTAAAGTTCCATCCTCATCCAAATTGTTATATGTCTGATTACAGTCTGAAATTCGACTACTGGTTTTAATAAAAATTAAATTTGATGCAGGTGTTTTAGGAGATCTTTTTTTTTAATATGCAGGATATTTGATTGTTGTTTAATTTATTAGAGTTATTGTAGTTGGTATTTAAAAAATAGCAGGTCTTTCGTGATACCTATTAAAGACTTCCAGAAAACTAAATAACTTATTATCAAATTTGAAAACTTGTTAGGCGCATTCTTTATTAGGACTGGAAGCAGATAAAAATATGAAATTTGTTTGTGTACAACTTTTTAATTTGTAATTTATATTCTTAATACTAGGGTATCATTTATTGAAAAAGTCATTGGATCCAGCCATTACAATGATGAAATCTTGGGCCATAAAATTTCTTGATAACTTTTCAACATCTTCTATTACACTAACGAATTGCGCACCGGGTTTTATAATCATCTGAATTTTGATATTTACTGAAATACCTTTTTCTTAATTCTAATCCTCTACCGGTCTCATCAGTCAGTATCAAAATCTGTAAAAGTTACATTTGTTACATTTTTTGGACTAAATATCTCTTCTTTTTGATTTTTTAGTTTTTGCAGCGCATTTTCCATATTTTTGTTTGAAGCTTAGTTTAGAAATTTCATTCTCTAAATTTGCCAACTTCTTGACATAGTCCTTACTAATTTTCTTTGCATCATTCTGGAGTGTTTCATTTTCTTTTTCCAAAATGCTTATCATGGTAACCATATTTTTACTTAATTTATTCAGATCATCAATGTCCTTATTCAATTTCAACACAGCTTCATCTTTTATGATATTCAGTATTTACTTTTTCATATGAATCAAGCTTTAATTTTAAATTTTCCATTTCTTTTAATTGATTTGAAAGCTTTTCAATGAATTTATTTTCCACTTCTAGTACCATATCTTCATAGCTTTGAGTACCCCTTTTTAATCTTTTGATGTATCTTTCTTTTTCTTCCAAAGTTTGTTTAAGTGTATATATTTCTACCTCATATTCTTTAACATTTGCTTCTTCTTCTTCTTCATCATCATTGTTTTAAATTTGACATGTCTGGGAATAATAAATTTGTTGATTCCGAAGTTTAATTGCATGTTTCATGTCCCTCTCTAGACAACTGGGGTGATAATATATCATCTTTTTTGTTTGATCATGTGACTGCTCCTTCTTTGATCTAACTAGATGTATACATCTAATAGATGTATACATGAATGCAATTTTATATTACACCCTCAACCTGTACAATAAATAGTTAAATCCATTATTTTTAATTAAGATGACTTTGTTAAAAATGTCTCATTAAATTATTGTCTATATTGAGATTTGGCTTTTAGGTGTATTTTCTATTTTTTTTTTTTTTTATAATAACTGATATTAACATTAATGTGTTGAATATAAATCAATTTTCAATTACAGTTATAGAAATAGTGCAACCAAACAAACATTTAATATACCATTAATATCAAGGCCATAACTATTCAACTTAATAGTACCTAACTGGAATATTATATTTTCTAGTCAATAAACATTTAAATAATAAAAATAAATTTTTGTATCTAGGATAATTCCATTAATTAATATCCTTTAATATAATGAAACAAATATTTTAATTCAAAATAAACCAAGCAATTCAAGTTTCTAAGTTGTGGACCTTAGGTACTCTGAACAACAGTTTGGTACAATGATTTTATATGATTCGAAAATATTTGTCTCAAAAAAATTAAATAGTTGTTTGGATTGAAATAAATATACTTAGCTAAGTACTATTCATATAATCATTGTAAAAATATATTTAATAATGTATGAAAAGTAAACAATTGAGAAACAAAGTCTATAATTTATCTGAAGCCTAGTTCTATTTCATTTTAATTGATAACACCCATATATCATCTATCAACACAAGGGAGTAGGCGGTTTAGTATCCTTTGATAATTTATTTATAAATTGTATTAAATTACCAAATGAGTTAATATTTTATAATAAAATATTCAAATAAATTGGTCTTTATTTACCAAATCCTAGCAGAAATTACAGATGTCAATTATTATGAAGGTAGAAATATATAGTTTGATGTTTATAAAAAAAAAAAATAATAAAATTCCACAAAAACTTAAATAAAACATTGTTTTATCTCTTGATTGAAAAATTAAATGAAGTACATCAGTTTTTTGAGATGACAGTGGTCTGTTTTTCTGGTTAACATACTTAACTATTTTGCAATAAAGTTGCAAAATTTGATACTGGTCTGAGAAAAATCTAGTATTTCAGGTTAAATATGAAAGTAAATTATTATTCATGGCCATTGATAATTCATAAAAATTTGAATATCTATTAATTTTCACTTATTTTATTACATTAATTAAATGATGAATCATGAATTAGCACTGAAATAAAACTATTGGTGCAGTAATATGGTACTGTGCCTTTTCTTTCAATGATATAAACATAGGGGGGTGTGACTATTTTAACTTACACCAGTTTTATAATATTAAAACTTACAATCTAAATGTTTCTTTTTGGGTCCAATCATTTCTTCAGTAGTTGCTTTACATACTGATTTAGCCAAACCTTGTCCAGCCAGGCTGTGTTTTGCGGCCAAAAGCCTATCGTTGATAGTTTGTCCTGCTAGTCTTCCAGTCATATTGCACCTTTTAAATAATTTTTGACTAAATTTAACACTTTATAGCAGCTCTAAATTAACAGACAAGGCACAATAATTTGTTAAGTTTTCTTCATCACACAATTGTTCAAATTAAAATAAAAACGACCTGATAATAATGGATGACTGATATTAGACTGATAATAAATGAAAAATGAATATTTGAGATTCGAGGATCGGATCTCGGATCGTTCAATTGTCAATTTCCCTTCAAAAATATCTCTTTTAAAAGAAACAGTCGGATAAATATGTGTATTGAATAGAGAGGTCCGAAATGTCAACTAATTGTTGTCTTCTCCTTTCAAATCATTTAAAACTCTGTGTTTCTCTTTTTAAAATAGTTTTTAACCACTATTTTAGGATCACTACAAACAAACTATGAAAGAGAACAGAACACTAACATCAGTAATGTTATATGTCATATCTGACACAGAACTTGGTTCTCTTGAATACTACTACTGTTCCTAATAGATATGCAACACTTTTTACCGTTGATACAGAATATCTGTTCCTTATGTGAATACCACCGACCGTCATATATATAGTTGTTAAGCTGTGTATATAGTTTTCAGTGGTGAATACTACTACGGTCCGGTCCGATCCCTAAAGAACATACAACAAACCCTGTTTACTCTTTGATATTTTATTTGTTGTAAAAACCATTTCAATAATATCTAATTATTGCATGAAACAAATATTAATCAATTAGTTCTTCCTCACTCAGTTCTGTCAGTGTTTCAACATTAAGGAATATATCTCTTATTTACGTTTGGAGAAGATAATTCTTCAAATAAAAGTAGCTTGTGATGTCATTCTCTATAGTTTTTGTCTTATACATGATGTCCAAAAAATGATATGTATTCCAGAAATTTGACAAAAAGTGCAAAATTCTAATTTTAAAGAAAATTGTTAAAAACAAAAGTGATGTTATTCATTATAATTTTTGTCCTATATATATATATATATATATATATATATATATATATATTTACGGTAACCATCCAAACCTGAACCAGAAGTAGTAACTTGGGTTAACAATCTTGAACCACCATCACAAACCTGAACCAGTATATTGGTTCAGGTTTGTTTTGCTGTGTTAAATTATTTAATACCCACTCTATCCTTAAATTGAAACTTGATTGTGATAGCTCCATATTAAAGGAATCTGCAAATTATGCTTTCAAATTTTCGCGCCTAACACATTGCCGGATATTCGCCCTTTTTTATTGGTTCAGGAATGTACGAAACTCCAATATGTAGTTCACCAGTTTGACGTCTGCGGCGCTTAGGTAGATATTTGCGGTATATAATTATATATACGTATTGAAAGTAATTCCGTATCATCATGAGCCAGTGAATATGGCAACATTGCGTATTTAAAAATATTTTATGTGATTTGTAACGGTGCAGTTGTTTTGTAAGAATCATTCGTCTTACTATATATGCGAAAAGCTTTTTTATTAATAATTTTAGGAAAAAAGTTATTTCTTATAAAAAGTCGAGCATGGTCCAAAACCTAAAATGCAACCATCAAATATCAAATTTGATCAGTTGTATACGAGATTTGTCAAAAATGAAGGTACTTCATTTTACAGCTAAATTCATATTATTTGATATATCTCTTTTAGTATTGTAAAAATTTCATAACTGACAGTTGCATTTTAGTTTTCAGACCATGTAGAACTTTTTATGAAGAAAAAACTTTTTTTCGTAAAGCTAATAATAAAAAAGTTTCCCATATCCTGCGAACTTAAATGGACACACTGTATAAGCTTGAAATTTTGTAAATACCCGACTGTTAATTTCGACGTATTTGTATGTGTTTGGGGATTTACCGCCGCTGACTTGACATCAAAAATCAGAAAGTTGCGTATCTTACCAATTTCAAAAATAATATTTTTTTATTTCCAAATATTGTCCATATCTTAAAGTGGTCCAAAGTAGATTAAGAAAAATCAGAGAACCAGAGATCTTATTGGTTAATTTAGGTTGAATGCCTTGTTAAAAAGAATATAGTTTAATAGATTTTTATATTTGGACAACTTATCATACAGGGTGTTCAAAAATAAGGTTTAAAATGAGATTGAGAAAACTGTCAAAAGTCTTTTTTTATGGAAATCCCCATTTTTATCATTTTGTAGTATTTAGTATTAAAAATAACTTTATATAAGATTGTTTACAAGATAGTCGGCGGAAGTGTCCACTGTTATAATTTGGCGTCAAATATTTCAATAAAAATACTAACTGCTGTAGATATATCTATTTTAACACCATGTATGTTCTTTAATATTGAACTAAGGTAAATTGTGTTATATCGGAATACTTTTATAGAGTTGCTATGTATCCCATTATTAACGGACAACCCTGTAGACAACTTTATACAAGGTTACCTTTATTTTAGATGCTAAACACTACAAAATAAGAAAAATGAGTGGTTCCATTTGAAAAATCGATATTTGGCAGTTTTCTTAATCTCATTTTAAACCTTAAACCCAAGGAATCCAACCCGAAGTAAGTAGCTTCCTTATAGGACTTATTGATAATTATATTAGAACTTGCCAACGTCATTTTTGATATAAAAACTGGAATTGTAAAATCGCTTTGACTTAGGCATATGATATGATACATAAAACCTCCCTGGAATCTGAAGTAGAATTCAAAATTGTAATAATAATAGGATGCCCTATTTAAAATAAGCCACTTAAGGTCTATTTCCGGTCAACCGGAATTACTTAATAGGCCCCAAGACATCTAGCAAGTTTCCAGATTTCAATTTTTTCCTACATCCAGTTTCTGAGATATCAATCGATGCAGTTCTTGGTGATCCACCCTGTATATTCTAGTCCATGAGTATAAAATAAATTGTTTTTATTAGGTTATACTTTTCTGAATATGTCTTTAGTTCATGAGATATAACCATTGTAAGTTTTTAAATTGTCAGCCATATGTGGTATGATTCCAAAGAAAATTTTGAATATCAGAATGAACCGCAACAAACATCTTGAGATTATTTTATACCGAGTGTTCACTTTTGCATATTTTAAGATAAAAAATGGACTTTCATAAAAGCTGTAGTGCAGAACATGTACACTGGTAAATTACAGAAGAAAAAAGAAATTTAATAAAGACAGATGCTAGCGAGTTTAAATATTTTTTTATACATATATTATTATAAGTATGTTTTTACTAGTATAATAGTAAGTAAGTAGTGTTTTACTGAGCTACCTGTTCTTCCGTTGTTTTTATTTATTTTATTTTTTTACTAATAAAACAATATTAGTATTAGCTATTGAATTTATTGCTTACATTTTAATTTTTGGATAAATCACAATCAACGACTAAACAATTTCCATGGCTCCATAAGTAATTATCAATGGTAATACCTCAAGAGATGAACATTTTTTTGAGAACAGTTTTTTGTTTCTGGAAATAATGCGTCTAAATTTTACGAAACAAAATCCTCCTTAAAATTACGGGAGTGAAATTTGCATAATTTGTAAGGAAACAACAAAATGTTTAAAAAAAAATTCTTACCTCGCGTGGTGTTTGAAAAGATTATTTAACAATATAAACAGAACTTTCATAAACATTTGCTTTGGTTTCATAAGCTGTAGTCGATTCTGTATTTAAAATATATTTAAAGAATCAAAACGATTTTTGTGCATTTTTCGTCATTTTTTTGACAAACTTCATATTGGATTTTCATATAAATCACTGATACATTACTCTGGTAATGAATTAAATTTTTTGTCCACGACCACTTAATAATAAATCAATATTCTACCTCCTAACTAAAAGCATATGGTACCCATATATCACTAGAGTGAATTATGGTAATTCACGCTTTTGTAATTCTGGCAATTTCCGGTAAATAACTAAAGATGGCCGATACTTTTCATAACGATATTTTCTAGATCGAAAAATCAGAAATTCGAAAAATTGGAAAATCGGAAAATTGAAAAGTTGAAAAAACAACAGTTAGTTAGTTACCTATGTTTAATAAAAACTTTCCATTCTACACTTAACTTTTATTTAATAAAGAAACAATAATGGTCGTGGACAAAGTATAGTATTAGACTCGCAATTTATGGCCGTTATTCACTCGGGTGACTTGCGCCCCTCGCCTACGACTCGGTACTCAAACTTCACCCTGCGTGAATAATGGCTACCATTAATTGCTCGTTTAATAATATACTATTAAATCCAACCTTTTTGACAAAGTCATATTGACTTTTCGCACAAATCATTAATGAATTGAATTTTTTAATTACAATCAGGATTGAGTAGAAACACTGCAGCATGCATATACAGTTTGTGTTGATTGGCGTCTGTTGGTATTAAAGATGATTGTCATTGGTTAATGCATTATAGCGTTAAATAATCTTATTAATACCTACTTACAATTAAAAATATTTAAGGAATTTATTAAGCAAGTTTTTACAAAACTAGCAATGTCGCTTATTCCTAACAGAAAATGAGACATTTTTAATAAAACATTAAATTATTTTCAAAATAAAATACTGTAAATTTTTCTTCTGACTAATGAGAATAACGAATTTGTTGCTGCGTAGGTATATATAACAAGATTATTAAAACTTTAATATATGTATTTTTTTATAATTTTTATTAAGTTAAAAAATTTAAGTAAGTATATTATCTACGTGGACAAGAAATGATTATTGTTGAGGGCTATTCAAGTCAAGATATGTTACATAGGAGATAAAAACCTTATTTTTGACATATTTACAATACACCTGATTTACAACGTTCTTGTATAAAAATATTACCCCCACCATCCCCTAGAGGGAGATTGAGGGAGTAGCATCCCCAGTAAATTAAGTTAGGTCTTTTTAAATAAAAGAGTTGGGATCTACGACTTTTTCCATATACATACACCCGAATTTATATATTTTTTTTTTTTTGTTTTTTGGGAAAAAACTTGTTTTTCTGTGACGAGAAAAGTTTAACATTTTATCTCTCTTGTCAGGTAACAAAATGTCACTTTTTATGAAATTACTTTTTTCCATGTTTCCTGGGAGAAAAGTGTTTCCCCGGGAAGTAAAGGTAGATATTTTTTTCTATATTAAATCGTTGTTTTTCCCATCACAGAAAAGAAATGGTGTAATATACACGGGAAAAATATTAGATTATAGCTAAAACTTTTTTCCCTTGTATAATAAATAAATATTTCTTGTCTTTGGACTTTTTTGACTTGAACTGATATAGTTTGAAGGTGGGGATTTGCATTTAAAAATCGTCACAGAGGAGATAAAACTATTATTTTTGGTACATTTGTAATAGACATAATTTTCAACTATTTTTTTATAAAAATTTACCCCCACCATTTTGACCAAATTTTGGAATTTTGGATGTGTATGTAGAAA